ACTCCAGAACCATCTGTATGATCCACTCCAGCCAACTCCAAAGCGCTATGCATGGAACCCGCTGATGACGATTTGTGCTCTAACCTCTCCAGTCGGTACGTCAAGCCACTCATTTCACCCTGAAGGTGACCTTTCATCTCAGTGACTTGATCCGCAACCTGTCCCTGAAGATTCGCCATCTGCGCCGATAGCCTTTGAACATCGCTTGAAGTTCTCTGCATTCCCTCATACAGGCGTTTAATCAACCATCGAAGCTCCTCATGCGTACGCACAGCGTCTCTAGGCGTTCCATCCCCAGAACTTTCACCATGAGCCACACTGTTTGTATTGCCTCCCTCTGAAGCCCACTCATCTGAAACTGGTACCTCCGCAGCCCTTTGCTGCGATAACCGAACATCTTCCAGAGACGGCGGGCCCTTATGGGCAGCTACACTAGACTCAGCAGCCTGACCCACGATTGCATGGTCTTCCTCTGTTCCAGTGCTGGGCAGTCCTATCGCGGCGCGAGAGTCGCGATCATCCTCCAAACCCACTGCACCACTAGCTGTCTCAGATGCTCTCACCACAATGTCCGAAGCAGGCCCTTCCCCACCCTCAGCGGTTTCTGACTGTGGGAGGTCTCGCGGCCTTGCTGGCTGTAGACTAAATGTGTCCTGAGCCCTCTCGCTCCAGAACGGGTTGGGGCGATCCCCTGAAGGCCCCAAACTAGCAGCTCTTCTTCGCCTCATGCCAGACTCCATAGCTCGACTAACTAGAAGCTACGGCTGATAACCTACGTTTGCACTCGCAGGCCTCACAGCTCCAGTCAAGCTACGGGCCTTTTGCTCATTTTAAGAGCTACAGTCTGTCACCAAAAGAGCTTAAAAATTACAGTCAAGAGGAGAACGTTCGCAATTCTCAATTAGGGTTTAGGGTTCACCGTTTGGGGTTCACCCCCCCAATGCCCCCTTAAGGGGGGCTTTCTTGCTCTCTGTTTCCTGAAACTCTGCATAAAATGCGGGTTTCACAGAAAACCACAGCAGGGCAGGGCAGGGCACAAAAAGGGGGAAAAAAAAGAACGCTCAAAACCCGACAAAACTCCGCACCCAAACCCTTTACAAATTCTATAAACCCTGATGTCTTCCTGAGTTGACGGGTGTGGAGAGTCTCCGCGAATCCGGAGTTTCAAGACCCCACAACCCCCTGAAACGCTGAAACCCACATGGCCTGGGCCCAAGCACCCCTTTAAGGGATCTATAAGGGTTGCCTTAGGGGTCCCTGTACAGGGTTCGGTAAGGGTCTAGGGTCTTAGGGAACCCTGGCCAAACTCTAATATAAGAACCTGATTAAGAACCTTGCCCCTCTAACCCCAAAGTATTAGGACTCGCATAAAAAAATCCGATATAGACCCAGGGTTCTAAACTAGGCTCCTATATTGCATTCTGTTTGTCTTCCCGGAAGCTTCGAAGAAATACCTCCTGCTAAACCCTAAACCCTAAACCCTAAACCCTAAACCCTAAACCCTAAACCCTAAACCCTGAGGGAGGAGGGCCCGAAGAACCCTTCAAGCATGCCTTCGCTGCAAACTTCAAGGTCTCAGGTTCAGGATTGAGGGATGAGGGGTTTTAGGGTTTAGGCTTTATAGAGTTTAGGGTTTAGAGTTGAGGGATGAGGCTTTTAGGGTTGAGGGTTTAGGGTTTAGGGTTGAGGGTTGAGGGATGAGGGTTTTAGGGTTGAGGGTTTGGTATAAAAACTGATAAAAGCTGCAACAAATTCAACTAGCCAAACCCTCTCTGAAAGGATGCCTTCTTGTCTTTCCATGGTCGTCGACGGCTTGCACTGCGACTGGCCTCCCGCATGCTGAGCAGCAAAAGCACTTCGGCATTAGTCTGCGGGGCTCAAGGTGAGTGAAGTACAGGGCCCTTCATTTGGGTTTAGGGTTTAGGGCTTAGGGTTTAGGGTTTAGGTTTTATGGTTTAGGGATGAATCATCCTTAATCCTTGATCATAAACCCTAAACCCTACACAGAGAAATGCCCTTGGACCAAGAGCCCTTTAGGGTTCGACTTCTCGAAGGGTTTCGGGTCGGGCTTTAGGCGGGTTTCCATCGAGTTGCAGACAGTCAAGTGTAAGAAGCTGCGACGGTACGGTTTAGGGTTTAGGGTTTAGGGTTTAGGGTGAAGGTAACCCGAAAACCCTGGCAAAACCTGTTTGGAACCCTCCAAACTCTCGTGGAGGCGTTAAATAGATCACAAGACGCTCCAACAAGCGGAGCTTTGGGAAAACTGTCCTGCAACTTGTAATGCTAGGAGGTCATATGGGGAATTGAATGTTCATAGATCCTTGACGGGTTCGGGGTATCCTAAACCCTAAACCATAAGGAAACCTTTATCCCCTAAGCCCAACAACACCCTACAAGGATTATTGAAAAAGCCCTTAAAGCGCGCAGAAAACCTTCCAAAACGAATCTCTGTAATACGCAATAGACCCTGTCCAAACACCAATAAACCCGTAAGATTCGATAGGCCTTTAAGGGGGGTGTCGGTATCAACCCCTTCGACCGTTTCGCCTCAGCAGCTGCGTGGCCGTCTCGCTCGGGAGACTCGCTTGGCGCGTTGCGGCCGTTCTCGCGCTGGCCTGCGGGCGCACAAAGGCTAAACCCTAAAGCCTAAACATTAAAGCCTAAACCGTAAACCCTAAAGCCTAAACCCTAAAGCCTAAACCAAAAAACTCTAAACCCCAAAACCTAAACCCTAAACCCTCAAGCCGGGTTAGGGTTGCGAGCCTACGCCTTGCCTTGCTTTGTGACTGCTTGGAGGGTCGGGGGACCTAGCAACGGGCCATAAGGGCACTGTAAGGGTACTGTAAGGATAGGGTTTAGGGTTTAGGGTTTAAGGATAGTATAAGGGTTACCATAAGGGTTCAGGATTTAGGGCTTATAGGGTTGATGATATAAATCCTGCATTACCCATACTAATGAATATACCATAACTCCCATAGTCTAGGGTCCTTAAGGTAATGCAGGCTTTACATCATTCACCGTAGAAGGGTACTGTAAGGATATATAACAGGAACTCGGTTGCTGTACCAGCTTGGGGGGGTGCGCGGCCTCCAAGTCTTCAGAGCAACGAGAAGAAAAAAGTATGGGTTGAGGGATGAAGCACCTACGATTCAGGGTTTAGGGTTTTTTTAAAAGTGTGTTGACATGCCCTTTCCGACCGCCTGCTAAAGTAAGCACACACTGTGAAACCTAGACTGTACACAAAGACATTCTCCAAGACTTCAAAGCAAGATGTACATGTATCGACCACCTGAGTGTGAGACGTACAAATTTCATTATCCTACTCATCAGAGTCTTCAAAGGTGAACTCCACTTCCGCACCAGCAGTTTCGTGCACATCATCATCAGGGGCAAGGGGAATGGCCTCGTCAACACCCGCCGAGGCATGTAGAACAGGAAACGGGCATGTCGTCATTTCATCCGTGGATCCCGTTGTTGTAGGGTGTGAAAGTTCGCCTTCAGGCTGTGCCAAGGTAGAAGACGAACTTAAGGCGGGGTCACCCCAAGTTACTGCAACAACTTCACCCACAGCATTAGCACGATCATCTTGTGCATGAGCATGTACCCCAGGATGGACAGGACCGGGAACGTCACCTCCATGAAGTAGGCCACTGTCTCCACCTTCTCCCGCATGTAGCCCCTCTGCAAGTGCTCCAATTTGGTTGGCATCCTCTTCCTGTTCCAACACATCATCGGGAGGGTCCGATGGTACGGTGTCCCGCCCGTGCCAGCTATCATGTCCTTCACCATGAGGTAGTGTAGGTAGAACAGGAGGTCCATCACCATGATGTGGTACAGGTAGAACCGGAGGGTTTTCGCCAGGACGTAGTGCAGGTAGAGCTGGAAGGCCATCGCCAGGATGTAGTGCAGGCAGAACCGGAGGTCCAGGTAGTAGAGGAGGTGGTATGGCCATTACTGTTCGGGACGATCTTCCCAGGTGTCCCGAGCTTGCAGAGCTGCCTCCAGCACCTGAACTTCCCCCCACACCTGCCGCCAGGTCCGGCTCGTTGTTTTGTGTCATCCATGGTGCGCGACTTGGTCGAGGACGATGTTCTGTAGGCCTTCTTGGCGATCTAGAATGATCACCCCTTTCTAAATCCTCCTACACCTCCTGTAGAAGGCGCGCACGACGACGAAGTCTCTCGTCCGTCGCCTCGCGAAGCTGCGCAAGCATTTGGAGGTCTGGGTCCGCACCAAGGACTTTCCTCCATATCCTATCTTCCGCCTGCCAAGCCCCCAGCGGAATGCGACCATCACTGGAAGCCGGACAGACACGGAGGGCGATGTCCAAGGCACGCTGCAGGTAGAACTGGATCTCCATCATCACCCCATGTCTACTGAGTAGCCGTCTTGTGATTTCTCTCGCCGTAGAGCTCCTGGCATTATGTAACTCGTGTCGAACTGCCCTTTCGATCTCGAACAGACGATCACCATGGAGCCCAGCCTCAGACGTGGTGTCGAAGTAGGGTTGCTCATCTGAACGGAGAGCATCACCCTCCAAACCTCCAAGTCCACCAGCCATCGGGGAAACTGTAGGCTCCCCTGTTGCAGGTCCACCACCATATCCACCATAAACAAGGAGAGCGTCCGACATGTCACCCACCCCACCACCAGTGTCTGCAGTCTCCATCGGGTCATCAAGGTCGCCGGTGTTATCTTCCTCTTCAATCTCATTTTCCTCCTCCACGTACTCTTCTTCTTCCTCCTCAGCGACATTTGTTCCACGTCCCAGGTCCATCAACGAATGTACATCGTTTTCCCCTGTAGTGAGCGATTCAACTGAAGACGGCCTTGTCCTTGACTGTGGCGGAGGAGTGCGAGATCGTTGCCTCGGTGCTGGTCTGACCCCGCTGCCTGAGGACGAAGAGGGAGCCGATGACATAGTCTCTCCTCGAAGTGGTGAGGCCCTGGCGGTGGCATCCCCATATATGGACGCCATGACGGGTGACAACTTGTTCCATCTAAGTAGCTCCTCCCTTAATCTTTGATCTTGTGGTTCTCTGCGAAGGGGGCAAGACGTGTGTGTCTGAGCCCGATCCACCAGCTTCGCTATTGTCTTGTACTCCTGCACCCTCCTGACTTTGTAAAAGCCAAACTCCAAGTGCCCATCGCGCTTCAGCTCCTAGGTCATTTCCCACATAGCTTTCATATTCCCGAAAGAAGAACTCCATCTCAGCCACATGTTCCGCAGCAACACCCTCTTGTTGCAGAAGGGCTTTCTCCTCTCCCTTCAGTCCAGGCCGCATCATGAAGTTCACCTCGTCAAACTCCGTGTCTGTAAATGTCCTCCAATTTTGTTGTACAGGAGGCCCTAAAGGTCGCCATAGTTGTCCAACTCCATGTTCACCCCCGCGTGGATGTTGAAGAAGTTCTGTATTGTCACCCTCGTTGTCCATGTCTTCCTGGTTCTCTTTCTTCTCCGCCTGCTTCTCCTCGACCTGCTCATCTTTGTAATGTCCTTGTCGGCGTTCCTGGTCCCGGGCTTGCTTGGCTACCTGATAGTCTCTCAGCCAAGCTGGTATCCATTGTCCTGTCGTCCATGCTTCCAAGCGGGCCTGCCTTCGGGCCATACGGGCTGGTCCTTGACCACCAGCATGGCGCCGTTGCTCCTCTGCCGTACGGTCTCGTGGCACGAATTGTCCATGCCTGTAGAAGCCCTTCATCGACAAGCTTGCCGACGATGTACCATAATGTCCCTGCGACGAGCTCGAAGCCGAAGTTGAAACCGCATTACCAGGTATCACCCCGGCTGAAGCTGAAGGGTGCCCTGGATGAGAGGAGCTTGACGAGGACGAAGATGCCGCTGTGGTTCCAGAATTCACCCCGGCTGTAGTGTTCCTCGCCTGGGGTCCCCATTCTTTCCACCGTCTGGCTTGGGCAATGGTTTCTCGTGGTTGTCGATGAGGTACTTCATCTCGTCCCATGAAGACGCCGTTCTCCCCAATTTGTGCACCGTATAAGGCAGCCGCTGTCTGAATGAGGTCAATGGTGGAGAGCCATCCCATGTCATGATGTTGCATTGCCCAACCCACGACCTCCTCGACAGGGATCCAGCGCGTGCCAAACAGAAATCCCATATCCTCGGAAATTCCCCCAGTCATCGGGTGGCTGTACTCAGGAGGTTCATCCATATGTGGATCACTGGGAGGGACAGCAGGATCAACGTGATCTGTTCGATCCTGGGCATCTTGTTCTGAATTAGGTGGTTCACGTACTTCCCCATCCTGTCGTGGTTGTCCAGGTAGTTCAGAATCAGGTAGAGAAAGAGGTACCGGATGTAGGCCGCCCACATTCGAATCATCCCTTTGCTGCAAGTCACACACAGAGGGTTTAGGGTTTAGGGTTTAGAGTTTAGGGGCTTGAGGGCTGAAGGAGTTGTGATCCACATTAGGGTTTAGGGGTTTAGGGTTGAGGGCTGAAGGAGTTATGGTTCAAGTCTTTTAGTTCCGGGATTGGGGCTGGGGTGGTGTCATGGCAGCAAGAACAATCCTTTCCCAGCGGCATGGCATGGCCAAACACCGAAGGCCACGACTTTACCCTAAACCCTAAACCCTAAGCCTAAACCCTAAACCCTAAACCCTAAACCTTAAACCCTAAGCCCTACGCCCTATGCCCTAAACCCTAAACCCTAAACCCTGAACCCTCATCTCCAAACAGGAAGAGCGTCAACCCCGAAGTTTCATCGAAGACCCACTAAACACCCACCAACTTCTGCAACAGCCTCCTAAGACCCAAAACCCAGATCCTTAAAACTCTGAGCCCGAAACCCCTCAGCCCCGGTATTACACCCTTCTCGAAGGCTTGTTCGACCCTTGCAGCCGCCCTCACCCTAGGAAACCTCTTAACAAGCCTCCAAAATCATGCAAAACTAAACCCTGACCGACCCCTGAACCCTAATCCCTAAACCCTGACCTAAATCCGAAACCCTGACCCTTAAACCCTAATGGTACCCTTTATGGTATCCTTACGGAAGCCTTGAAACGACCCCCTTGTTTGAGCTTCCCGGGCCTCCCCTCCATGCTGGCAGCCGGCTCAGGAACGTCTCGAGCGCATCCTCCCCACTTGGAGGGTCGGGGGGTTTTAGGGTTGAGGGCGAGGGTTCCCATTAAGGGTGCTAGGTTTAGGGTTTAGAGGTTAGGGTATTATAGGGGGACTACAAGGGTAGCATAGACACGGGTTTTGATAAGGGCTTGCTCGGGCTTCGGTGTAGGGCTTATGTTTGGGGGGTTTAGGGTTAGGGTTCGAGTTTAGGAGTTAGGGGTGTATCGGGTGTTGATAAGGATATTAGGCGGCTATGAAGGTTTCATGGTGCCTGATGGTTGCTGAATTCGGTTTTCTGGCTAGGATGTCAGGTTGAGCTTTGCGGATTACGGGTTTGGAGTTTAAAATTTGGGGAGTTTAGGTTTGAGCTCTTTGGGTAAGGAAAGTAGAACCTCGAATTTTGGTACCCTTTACTACTATTGCCTAGGAAACCACTCAAGGCAACTCCTTTCTAAATTCCTTCGGAAGTTTAGGATAACCAGGAAATTTGCCTGAAGCTCTGCAAGGCTTCTTGTCGTGATCTTAGTTAGGGTTTAGGGTTTAGGGTTTAGGGTTTAGGGTTTAGGGTTTAGGGTTTAGGGTTTAGGGTTTAGGGTTTAGAGTTTAGGGTTTAGGGTTTAGGGTTTAGTGTTGGGCTATGTCGCCCTCAACCCTGAGCCCCGAAACCCAACCTAGCGTTGACCCTTAGCCTATCTTTCTTGCAGAGCCTAAAACTATGAACCCCAGTAAAGCCCTAAATCCTAAACCCCCAACCCCTAAAACC